GGGTAGACTTTATTGTTTTCTTTCTCTGTCTATCTCTGTGTCTCCATGTTTCCAGCAAAAAATTTTGCTACACGTGCCCTGTAGCAAAAAAATCTCTCAAAAAAAAAAAAAAAAAGAAGTAACTGTCTTCAACTCCTGGCTCTTCTTTTGATCATTTACCCCCATATCTCTAAATATGTCTTAAATGTTTCCTCTTCATTAATGCACACTCCACATTATGTACTTTTCATAGCAGATGAGGATCTCTGCTCTCTCTCGTACATGCCTTTCCCCTTCCTTTGCCCTCCCAATATAGTCGCAACCCCAGCTGTGGTTAGTTAGAATCAATCGTCAGTGTTCATTGCTAAGCCAAGTACCATACTATGATTACACATTTCCTTCCATATGATGCATTTCTGTTTTTCTAGAGTTAATACATGCACGATTTTTTGATCTGCTTGGTTTCTTTATACTAATCCCTAATTCCCCCAACATCATCCATTGGCCTTTCAATACTATCTTCTACATACCAGATAGTCAATCTGTCATTTCTTTTTTTCTCTGAAAGAGCTCTTTCCTGAAACATGCCATCCTCCTGAGATATCCAGGACCAACTGCTCTCCAGGCCTGTAGCACAGCGATTACACTGGGACTTTCTGTGTAACCGTCATCAGGGATTTCCCTCTGTCACTGCATGCACCCGACCTCCTATTCCCTAGAGCTCAGCTTCCCCTTTCTTGGTTTACTTCTCATTTGCTGGAGCAAATCTTCCTACAGTTCCTGAGAAGTGCATTGGAGGTAAATGTTGTGAGATCTGCCATGTCTAAAATGTTTTCATTTTATGCTCACATTTGAATGATAATTCAGTTGAATATAGACTGCTAGGCTCAACGAAACTTTCACTCCAACTATTAAAAACATTGCTCTACCTTGGGACTAGCAGTTGGCATAATGGCAGTGTTGCTGGACTCTGATGTGGTTGACCATGGTTTGAGCCCCAGACCCTGTGGCTTAAACTCATGCCGGGCACGTGTGCGTGTGTGCCCAAGATTCCAAGAGGAGAATGGAGGAGAAGGGATTGTGGCATGGCCATCGCCCCTGGGGTGGGGGGTGATTTCTCACTTTCTGTCTCTCTGTCCTTCTCTGTCTTTCTGGTGAGCGCACATGCCCTACAGCAAAAACCTCTCAAAAAAACAAAACAAAACAAAACAAAACAAAAAACATTGCTTTACCTTTTTTCTAGTTTCTAATAAAGTTATTAGTCTGTACAATGTGTCTTATACTCCTGAGATCTGTAGGTGACTTGCTTTTCTTCTGGGAGTTCTAGGGTTTTCTTTGTCATTCATATCCAGAATTTTCAGTCATTATAATCATGTGTCTTAGTGACAGTCCAAAGTTCTGAGATACTTCTACTATTACTCTTTGGAGATTTTCTTCCATCTTTATTTTTTGTTCCCTTTTTCTGGAACTTTGATTAGTTGAATATTGAGTTTCCTGGGTTTATCCTCTAGTTTCTTTCCTTTTTTTTTAAGACAGCATCTTACTGTTGAGATCCCCCTGCCTCAGTCTCCTTGAGTCACTGGGATTACAGGCACACACCATACCCATCTTTTTCAGATGGACTAGGAACCAAACCTGGACCTTCCATGTGGTCCCAGCGCTGTCTAGCACAGCATCTTAGCAGCACATACCACCGTGGCTAGGCATATCCGCTAGTTTTCTAATATTTTCCTTCCTATATTTCATATCATCTTCTTAGATATTTCCTCAGATTTATAAACAAACCAAGGCAAATGGAAGTATCAAAATTAGAAAAGTAGGGACCATCAGATAGAATAATGATTACATCACTAGACTCTCACATAGTCAACCACAGTTTGAGTCTTGGACCCAGTGGCTTAAAACTCATGCCAGGCACATTTTTGTGTGTGTGTGTGTGTGTGCCCAAATTCCTGAGAGGAGAGTGGAGAAGGGACTGCAGTGTGGCCTTCCCCTGAGGGGTGATTTCTCACTTTGTGTCTCTGGTGAGTGCATGTGCCCTATAGTGAAAATCTCTCCAAAAAGAGAAATTAGAAAAGTAATTAATTCTAAAGTAGTGAGACTATAAGAAATTTTGTTGTTGTTCATGTCTGTTATGTATTTTCTACAACCACTGCTTACCTTTTTTTTTTTTGTTTTGGGAGAGATTTTTGCTATAGGGCGTGGGCGCTCACCAGACAGACAGAGAGAGACATAGAGATAGAAGGCGAGAAATCACGCCCCAGTGGGGATGGTCACGCCGCAATCCCTTCTCCTCCATTCTCCTCTCGGGATCTTGGGCATGCACGCACACGCGCCCAGCGTGAGTTTTAAGAGAGAGAGAAAGGGAAAGTGAGAAAGCAAGCCACCAGGTCCAGGACTTGAACCATGGTTGGCCATGTGGGAATCCAGTGCCCTTATCCACCACACCACCTGCTGGCCCCGCTACTGTTTACCTTTAAAATAAGAAAAAAAGAGTATATAGTTTTTTTGGTTGTTTTTTATTTATTTATTATTATTTTTGGAGAGGTTTTTTTGCTATAGGGCGCGTGCGCTCGCCAGAGAGAGACAGACAGAGAGACAGAAAGCGAGAAATCACCCCCTTGGGAGGATGACCACGCCGCAATCCCTTCTCCTCCATTCTCTTCTCGGGATCTTGGGCACACATGCACACTCGCCTGGCGTGAGTTTAAGCCACCAGGTCTAGGACTCAAACCACAGTTGACCACATTGGAGTCCAGTGACATAGCCAGTATGTCAACTGCTCGTTCCTCTCAACTATTTCAAAAAATTTAAATTCCTAGGTTTCAGCTTATGTTAGCAGCTTCCTTCATCTCATTTTTTTCTTTTAAAATTCCTATTTTTGCTTAAACTATAAAAATACAACTAAAATATATATTAAACAGCAGAAACTATTACTATCTTCTTAAAAACTCTCATCAATCTTTCATTACATTGTTAAGTTCAGTTACCCCATTTACTACAATAATACATTTTTTCTCTTTCCACCACTACCGCTGGCTCCATTAAAACCAACAGGGTAGGTAGACAGATGGTAGTGCAGAGGTAAAACAGGATGTTCTGTGAGACTGACCCACATGAAAAGGTTCCAGGTTAGCATCCGGCATGCATTGGGCATGAATTCACACATGATCAGGGCTGACTGAGGCTGCTGGTGGATCAGGGCATCTGGACCCTGTCGGGTATGCTCTCTCTGTCTCTATCTCTGTCTTTCATACTCATGGGAAAAATAAATAAACTAAACACACACACACAATTAGGATTCAGATGGTGGTACGGTGGTAAAACGCAATGCTCTGTGAGGCAATGCCACATGGGAAGGTTCTTAGTTCAAATCCAGAGACCTCCCTAAGTACACTGGGCACGTATCTTGCCACACATTTCTTGCTCAACTGGATTAGCTCAGGGGTAGATCGCAGTGTCACGATCTTGTTGGGGTTGCTGTCTCTCTTTCTCCGTCTCTCTCACTCATGGAAGAAATAAATAAATCTAAGAAAAATGGGTTTATCTTTATCCAAGAATGAAACCTAAGTTTGTGTTGGACACAATGACCTATCATTCCCCATCTGAAAACTCCCTCCTCTGATCACCAACCAGACTAGTAGACCAGGGAAACTCTGTATTTATACAGTTCTAAAATGTCCATGAACTGCTTTCTCTCTTAGCTCCCCAGAGGACAGGTGACACAGACCTTAGTATTAGGTGGGATACAAACACTGGACAAGGCAAAGAAGTTCCACATCAGTACTTCCTGATGGAGGTAGAATGTATTTACTTACCCAATTCTCTTCTATTATTCCAATGTTATACTTATCATCCCCCCCTGGGCTAGTTTGTTGCTTCTGTTCAGCATAAAATTCCTGGAGAGCTGCTAAGGTGTGGTAGGAGAGCCGGGGGATATCGTCATCTTCTGAGTCACTCATTTCACAACTCTATAACCTGCAGATCAATGAATAAATGTGTGTGTGGATTTTGTTTTCCCTTCCCATGAAATCACAAATAAAAAACAATTTACCTCACAGGAAAGACCCAAAGTGAAGTAGGTTTTATACAGGGCAGATACATATTTAAAACAAACACCTACAGAGGGCTTCTACTGAACTACAGTTCAACAAATGCAGGATTTTCCTGTAAATGCATTCTGTTTTTAAAAATGACATTTTCACATTTTTTTGATTCCTTGCAGAAGAAAGTGTTTATCATAAATATCTGTGTTCATCTTGCATAGCCCAAGGGCCATAGGCAGATCTTTCACAGTACAGTCTCTGAACCAGAGGTCCTGACTATGCTTAAATGTCACTAGTTTAGGTAAACTGAGGTTCATAGTGTTACTGATGGATGTGAGCAATCAATTTAAAAAGGAGGGGTAGAGAAAGAGTTATGAAAAGTAAGAGGGATGATAAGGAGAAAGAAAGAGTATAACTGAGGGAAGGAGAAAAAGAAGGTATTTGTGCAAAACTGACAACCAGGGCATAACTACTTCTTGGGGTACTACCTGGAGTTGGCCAAACTGCAAGGTTAAGGCAATCTTCCTGCTGGCCAACTCTGCCGAGACCTCCTGATAGCAACAGTAAGTCTGGGAGAGTCCCCAAACCATACACATGATCAATAACTTGCTACAAAGACTCACGGAATTCACTGAGAGCGATTATACTCAGTTAAATTTATTAAAGGAAAAGGACATAAATTAGAACCAAAGGAAGAGACAGGGAGGAGTCTAGGAGCACTGTAAACTTGAAGCTTCCATCATCCTTGGGGCACATTATTCTCCAGGCTTCGATGTCTGACAGTATGCATGGAGTACTGCCAACTTAGAAGCTCACCCGAGCTTCCGCATCTTGTTTTTATTCTGGTTTCATTATACAGATATGATGGATGAAATAACTGCCCACCTGGCTAAAGTCAGTTTCCAACTCTGCCCTCCTTGAGGCTGGGTGGAAAGATTCTTCTTGATCTCCCCTATCGGCATAAACTACCCACTGTGGTCTGAGGGGCCCACCATGAATAAGAAAGCACTCCTATCATTTGGGAAATTCCAAGTGTTTAGAGGTTACCACCCACGAGCCAGGACAAAGGCTAGACCTCTCTTTGGGTGAGGTCAAATTCCTTACAACATGGTACCAAACAAACTTCTAAACCAAAAGTTAGTTAGGAGGAAGAGATAATACCCCATTTGCTTTTTTTGTTTTAGAGATTTTTGCTATAGCGTGCATGTGCTTGCTGGAAAGACAGAGACAGAAAGTGAGAAATCACAACCTTGGGGACGGCCACATGGCAATTCCTTCTCCTCCATTCTCCTCTTGGGATTTTGGGCACACATGTACATACACATGGCCAGCATGAGTTTCAAGTTGCCAAGTCCAGGACTTGAACCACAGTTGGTCACATAGAGTCTAAGCCTTAACCACTCCACAGCTGCGGGCCCTCCATTTGCTTTTAAAAATATTGTGTTTAGCAACCAGCAGATGACATAATGGTTATGTTGCTGGACTTCCACATTGTTGACCATGGTTCGAGTCCCAGACCCAGCGACTTAAAACTCACACTGGGTACATGTGCATGCGTGCCCAAAATCCCAAGAGGAGAGGGGACCAGCAGGTGATATGGTGGTTAAGGCTCTGAACACTCCCACATGGTTGACCACAGTTCGAGTCCTGGATCTCGTGGCTTGCTTTCTCCCTTTTCCTCTCTCTCTCTCTGTATCTCTCTCTGAACAAATTTTAAAAACAAATGTATGAATAAATAAAATTAAATAATTATTTTTTTAAAATTCTAAGAGGAGAATGGAGGACAAGGGGTTACAGCTTGGCCATCTCCCCAGGGGGTGATTTCTCACTTGCTGTCTCTGTCTCTATCTCTCTGGCGAGCATATGCACCCTATTTCAAAAATTGTTCTTAAAAAATATTGTGTCCAAGGGGCCAGCAAATGATGTAGTTGTTACATCACTGGACTCCCACATAGTTGACTATGATTCAAGTCCCAGACCTGGTGGCTTGAAACTCATGCCAGGTGCATGTGCGTGAATGACCAAGATCCCGGGAAGAGAAAGGAGAAGGGACTGTGGTGTGGCCATTCCCCTGGGGGAAGGGAAGGGGCATGATTTCTCACTTTCACTGTCTCTGTTTCT